GGCGAGGCTCGCGCGCCCGCCCCCGCCCTGGCCCCCAGCGCCCACCCGGTCCGCGCGGCTCAGCCATGATCAAGGCGATCCTCATCTTCAACAACCACGGGAAGCCGCGGCTCTCCAAGTTCTACCAGCCTTATGTGAGTATCCCGCCGCCGCCGATATGGGCGAGGGGGAGTCGTTGGCGGCCGGCAGCGCCCTTAGGGCGACTCCCTCAGGCACGCCGCGGCCCTTCTCACGCCCCGGCAGCCTCGAGCTCCCCGGCTGTCAGCCGCCCTGTGGGCGTGAGCCAGGTGCCCACCTCCCGCCGCGCTCCCATCGTCCGACGTGGCTCTCTCTAGGTGGCTCCTCAGCCCGTCTGTTGCCTGGGTGGTTTCCCAGCTGCGCGGGCGAGGCCCTGGAGACTTCCCTGTGCGGGCCCCTCGCCGGCGGGCAGCTGCAGCCCACCTGCGCCCGCGAGCCCACCGGCGCTCTTGCCTTCCCGACACCCGCGACTTCTGTGTTCGCCTCTGAGGAAGACCGCGCCGAGCTCGCTGGTCTCGCAGCCCCACCTCCCTGACTGCCAGCCAGCCTTTCCTGGTGGACTTCTTTCTCTTCTGCTACGGACAGATGGGCGACTGTTTTTCACTGTAATCCTCTCATCGCGCAGGAACTTGAGCTTCCTGCGCTTTGATAACCGCACGCTTTGTACAGTCTCTCCTGTATGTTGTGTTAAGTGATCGACTCCCGGGTTTGGCTTTCATACCTCCTTATTAAAGAAAAAGATAAGTGAGGAACTAATGTTTTTTTCGGGCTTTTCGCTTAGTGGCTGTACATTATTTACTCCTGCAGTAACTGGCGACATTTGTAGTTGACCGGCCAGAACTGTGATTCTATACTTGAAAGTTATGATCTTAGCTGCTGATTTGGCATTTTTCTACCTAAGGGAATTTGCCCTAGTTTATAGTTTTTCTCCTGCTTATGAAGAAGAGTAATATTTGTAAAACTCGTTTAGCAGTGTATTGTTTAAAAATGCTGGAGATCTTAAGATAGTGAAGATAGATAATTTAGTAATGATTGAGGGAGAGTTCTGTGCCTATCTGAGGGCAAAATTTGCCATTAGGTAAAACACTTAAAGTTGGGCTATCATGGATAGGGTTTATGTAGAGATATAAATATTGCGTAGTATTGGGGCATTCTGCTTATAGCCAGAAATGAGCTTTCAATTAAATAAATTGTGCCAAGGCTAACACTTTTATGCAGATTAATCCCAGATAGAAATCATTCCTGCCTTTTAAAATTAAATGTGAAAATGTCACTTTACCTAAAACGATAATGTAGTCTGTGGAAGTGTTAGTTGAAGTGAGAAACCTTGAGCTTATTCCTCATTTCCTTAAGTAGTTTTGCTTTTTTTAGCGATAAAGAATATTTTCCACTACTGCTTGGCTTGAGTAGAATGTAATTTAAATGGTAATGCTTTGTTTAAGAATTCTACATCATTCCTAAATCCAGGATAAAATTCTAGTTGCCCTGGATGTGAAAAAAAATGCCTTTAACTTTGCAGTGTTACCTATTTGCCTAAAATATAGATCTAGCCCTTATTGAAGGAACTTTCTCTTCACCGTTTTCTTGTGCCATCCATTCTCAGTATGTTCCAGTAATGAAAGATAATTCAAAAATTTGTTTTTTCATGTCTATACTTAATAATTAAGCAATGTTAAAAATAGGTTTCTTGCCTAATCCATAGTTATCAGTGTAACCGTCTTGCAGTTTAGAATTTAACCATCTACTGAAAAATGAATTTAATCTGGAAATCCAGGAATACATCATTCTCTTGTCTAACAATGGAAACTGAATATGGTTTACCTTTATTCAGTAGGTATCGGTAAAGGTTGATGTGGGAAGAGGCAGTTCTGGCGGCATTGGCAGCTCTGGTGCCATTTTTGGCCACTGCATAAGTGACAGTGTTACTGGGGGCAGGGGGCTAAGAGTTGTATAAAGAATCTAGTGGTCACTAGCCATGAAGAAGTAGGGATGCCAGAAACTGTTTTTGTGTATTAGTCTTTTATAAATTGGGTTTTGCCAATTGTATTTTTGTCATTCAGAAATAATGTAATTTATTTGTTTATATATTTGCTTCCTTCACTTGACCATAACCTATTTGAAGACAGAAATCCTTTTCACTCATTTATTTCAGTTTATCAACAAATATTTATTTCATGCCTACCAGGTGCAGGCAGTGTTTTAAAATCTGTAGATGAACAAATATAACTTCTTTTGGTGCGGGGGGGAAGGGTCACAAAACTAATAAGAAGTAAAATATATATAGTGTGTCAGGTAGGTACAAGTGCTGTGGTAAAAATAAAGCAGGGAAGGGTGACGGAGTTCAGAGACGATAATTTACAATAGGATAGGCAAGTAAGTTCTCACTGAGAAGGTGACATTTGAGCAAAGATTTGAAGGAGGTAAGAAAGCATGCCTTGCAGATATCTGGGGGAAGATCATTCCAAGCAGAGGGAGTTGAAGATACAATGGCCCTGAGAAGGCAGTGACTGAAGAACCTGCCCTAAATGTTAAGGAACACCAAGAAAATTGGCATGGCAAGAGCAGAATATGTAAGGGAAGAGTAGTTGGAAATGGGATGTGTTTGTATAGGGCATCAGAGTTTATTCTGTTCTCACTGCTTGAAATTTCCTTTCCTTCCATTGGCAAACGTTTAGATTCGTTCGACTCCTTGTTCCAGGCCTAACTCAGACATCACTTAACCATTCTCTGAAGCCTTTTATCTTGCTGAAAGACTCCTCTTGGTTTTTAGGATTTTACATTTATCTTTATTACAGTATAATATTCTATTTCACAGCCTATAATTCCCTTGGGGCATTCTATAGATTCCTTGAGGGAAGGTATCAGGTTTTAGACTTATCTGTGTCACCCCCCGGCAATCAATATTGAGTCTTGAATATAGAGAGCTCTCAATAAATCTTCGCTAACTAGCTTGGGATAGAGTTTGGATTAAAAGTGACCTCCTGTATTTCCTTTCAATTCTTAAAATTTAGTCCTTCATTGATGAGAGGTTTTAAGAATCTATGCCTTTAGGACAAAACTAATGATGGAATAGCTGTTACTTCAATTTTTCTGGTTTAGGTTGAAAGAAATCTCTAAGAAGTATATATCCAATAAGACTGACAGTTTTGAGTTTAATTTATTAAGCAATATTTAGGGATGTGGTGACTTAACAGTTTCATATCCTGGTAGAATACTGAGGTTTGAGTCCAGTAATAATGGTTTAACCCTTAGCAGTATGAAAAGTGCTTACACATTTGCCAACCAGCTTCCGCTACTGCATTGGATTTTCACTCCTCATTTTTCCTCTCATTTAACAATTTATATGTTCATCTTTACCCTTTAATAGTACAGATATCCATTTCCTGCTATAATAAATTTTTAGATTTGATTGTACCTCCAAGCTGCTATTATCTGTGAGACACATGAAGTCACATATGTATCTGGCTAAACTCAAGTTTTTGGTTCATTCTGCTAGAGTCAGACATTAAGAATTCAAGGGTGGACTTAGAATACATTCTTTTTTGGTTTTGCCTTCTATATCCTTGTGCTATGACTATACAAGTTCAAATGTGTGTGTTTTTATTTTGTCTCTTTAAATTGATGCTTAGCCACAGTGACTTGGCAGCAGTAAACTTTAGTCTTTTAATATTTGCCTGGCAATCATTGTGTATTACTATAAATGACTAATGGAGTAATATTTCTTAAACCAGATATATTTTTACATAGCTATCAAACAAAAAACCCCTCTTGGTTATGATTCCTGTATTATTAATGAATGATGGTATATCCTTTGATGAATCACTTTAATAAAGTAAAAGATGTTTTTCTCTTATATGAATTATCTTAGTTTCCACATCTTTAAAACATTGTATGTGTAGCCCTGGCTGGATGACTCAGTTGGTTGGAGCATCATTCTGTATACCAAAAGGTTGTGGGTTCTATCCTCCACCCCTTTGGGGCGCATATGCGGGAGGCAGCAGATTGATGTTTCTCTCGAACATCGTCGATGTTTCTTTCTGTCTCTGTCTCTCTTCCTCTCTCTCCCAAATTAACAAAAACATACCCTCAGGTAAGGATTAAAACAAAAAAGATTGTATATATATACCTGTGGGCAAGCTTTCACACACATACACACAAGTGCAAACAGAAAAGTTTTCAAACTATTACATACATGAGTTGCCTCAATTTTCTTATAAACTGTATCTGATTATTAAGTTGTTTGTCAACCAAATGCAGGTCATAGAAGGAATTTTAAGATACGTTTCTTTCTTGAATTTGTGTACATAGCAGATATAAAGTATTGAAAATATGTATAACTTTTTTTTCCTTTTAAAAAGTCCTTAAGAAAGATGCATCCATGTTTACTGATGTTTTTCTTAGTGACTGTTAAGACAATGTGGCAGATGGGATAGTTAAGCTTATTTTTATGATCCAGATAGAATTGTCAGCAGTTCTAAGTATTAATTAAGGTGTTAACACATATTAACACATAGTATTTGAACTGTTTTATTAAGAAGATAATTTCAGCCTGGTTGGGCTTGGCTCAGCAGTTGAGCATCAACCTAGGATCCAGGCAATCGGGGTTCGATTCCTGGTCAGGGCACACGCCCAGGTTTCGGGCTCGGTCCCCAGTCGGGGGTGTGCAGGAGGCAGCTGATCAATGACTCTCTCATCATTGATGTTTCTATCTCTCTCTCCCTCTCCTTTCCTCTCTCTGAAATCAATAAAGATACATTAAAAAAAAAAAAATTCCAAGTGATTTGGTCTCTTTTCACATCAGTTAGGATGCTTTTGGATACATAATCTGGGTTTTATGTCCCCTGACTCAAATTTTGTTTAAAAAGAACTGTTAGTATACATAATAGGAGGCGCAAAGTAGTAGACAGGTTCCAAAATTATTTGATTCAGCAAATCACTGACTTCATCACTGATCCAATTTCTTACTCTGCCTTGCTCTTCACAAAGTTGATATCCAAAGCTGACTTGCTCCTTGAAATCAGGGGTAATGAATTCAATCCATAAGGAGTGATCTGTTCCTGCAGCCCTAGAATGTATCTTTCCCTTCAGTCTGGCTGGTCCTACCCACAATAGCTTA